CTTCAGCCCCTTTTTTCAGTTTTCTACTGAGATTGTCATGGGATACTTTCAAGAGTTGGATTGCAAACTAACAAAGGATGACCCTACAGCAGGAGTTTCAAACAGAATCCTGTTCAGTGTGTAGTCTATTTCTTCTTTTACTGTGAGCAGTAGTCTCTGATGTCTATATTCAAAGCAGATGCCAAAGATTTCTTTTTAATTCTTATACAATTTTAAAATTTCTAAGAATCACAAAGGCTGCCTAAAAGACTTAAAAAAAATATGGGTTATTTGCAGGAAGGAAAAGAGGTATAACCTTAGCTCATATACCTCACTTTTTCTTTTCTCCAGGTAGTAATCCTCAAACAAAGGACACTTATCACAGGTTAACACAACAGAAACAATTTGTAATACTAACAAGCCATATACACCATTTTCTGTTAAGATTTAATTTACCAGCAAAGGGAATATAGAACCAATTTTATGTTTTTACCGCCCACCCAAATACAGTTTTACATTCTCATTGATTTATTCTGAGATTCCCAAAGCTCATGTACCAAACATTTTGTGTCATCTAAGGAGAAACTGTATTCCCTAATGCCGAGATTTAGTGCTGCCAGAAGTTGCTGAAGTGTTCCTTTGGCAAGCAGCTAGGGCTGGGGTTTAAACAAAATTAATTTGAATGTATTTGGCTGATTTTAGTAGCTTGACCTCTGAATGTACGAGCAACAGCAAGATGGGGGGCAGCAGCAGGTTGTACACAGCTGAATTAAAATGAAGCCTGGCGTTGCTCGGGAAAGCCTTCCCACACCTGCTTCTCATTTCCGCTAGTTATTTCTGGTAATAAAAATTGGAACTGTTGCTATATATTTTGGGGTCTAGAAGGTCTATACATTTTCTTTCATACAATATGCTTGTGATTAAGTTTATGTCTCTGTCTACAAAAGGACAAGACATAAGTGTTTTTGAAAGAATATAGAAAAAACCTTAGTGAATAGTCCCTTTAAAAAGATTGTTTTTTTGGTATTCTTTCAGTTCCAGATGGAAGGCTCTGCCATGCAGCATCCTGCCTACCTGTCCACTGACATTTTCAGCTACTGTTCTTTGTTTTTCTGCACGTTGGCTTTGCCCTTTGTTAGGGACCAGAATGACAAAATAGAATAGTAATATTGGCTTGTTTTAAAGAAGCAGATACATTTCTTAGGAAAGTTGAAAGCATTTGGATGGGAAAGCAGCCCTTCCCAAGTTCATTTCCTGCTTGGGCTTTTTAATTCTCTGATCACTTCCCTGACAGTCCTGATGTCTGTATCAAAAGAATGAGATGTGTGGCTCAAAAATGCCAATTGGAGCCTCTCCCCACCCTACCACCCGGAGCTCTTAGCATAATTTGTGATGACTTCAGGGCTGGAATTTGGCCCAGCCCCTAATCAATCCTTAGGTATTCCTGTTCTTTTCATATTGCTGGGGGCAACCTGCCCATCTTCTTGTCACTGCCTTCGATTGACATTCTAAAGTACAGCTGTATCGATTGTGACTTTGCTCTCCTCTCTCTGGTAGCTACTTGGAATCTCATTGATGAGTAGTAATAACGTGATATATATTCGTGTGCACATATGCACAAACTACTGTGTTCGGTATTTGCATGTGCCTTCACGTCTGCTATGCGAGGGTATGCCATGTGAGAGAAGCAGCCTCTTCCCTCTCTCTGCCATATGATGTCTATATATTTATGAGTAGGAAAGAGAGGAGCACTTGGATATATGAATCTGCTTGCAATTTCCTAATGGAATCTGGCAGAAAAGCTTTGAAATAGGACAAATTCCAGTAAAAAAATGTGTCCATGGAAGTACTTTCCCCTCATGCCTGTCACCTATTTGCCCTTCTAGAGCACTGAAAAGATTAGTCAGGAAACAAGCCAAGTCCTCTTCTTTTTTTTCAGCAATATTTTTCAGTAAAGAAAACACACTCAGTTAAAGAACGGAGAGTTTTGTAATTGTGTTCCCTTTTTTTAATAGGGCCCTTCTATCAAAGAAGAGTCCAGAGAAACAAGTTCCTGAAGGGAGAAACTATCTTGTTAGCAATGGTCAGCTTTTCTGCAGCGGATTGGGCTTTGTTGCCTCTATTTGGAAGGTGTGTGCTGGGAATATTCTTTAAGGAGAGAGTATGGAAGCTACCTGTGAGAGTAGAGGTGAATGAACTTGAAAAGCAGTAGGCTCTTCCCTCTTGGAGCTGCTGCTGTGTTGGAAAGGCATCCTGAGACTTGATGCCCTCACGATTCAGACGTGGCTTCTCCACTTCCACTGAGGCCAAAAATTTTTGTTCTTCCCATCTATGTCTGAATGGACCGGGAGTGTGAATTTAAGCCAGGGGTCTTACAGAAAGCCTTTTAAAGGCCTCTCTTGCCCATATCCATACTTGCTGGTCTTTGATCTGTCTCCGTCACATCCTCGGTATAGCAAGGGCTGTTGGGAAGCATGGAATACTGCAAATATGGTGTATGGTTAGAGACACAAACCTATTGAATCCACAAACTGGAAATGTGTAATTCTCTACTTGCAGATTTTTAAACTAAAACTCTACCTGAGTGAATGAAAAATAAGTTGCTTATCTGGAGACACTGTGTAATTCATCTGGGATAAGAATGCCCTTGTATCACACATATCTTATTGTTCAGATGATCCACAGGGTGAAATACTCTGATGTAGCTACACAGTCCCAGGAAGGAACCCCTAAAAAGTAACCTCATGTTTCACATTCTTCAAAAAGAATTATTTTTGTCATTTTCCCTTCAAATACGATCTTTACTTAAATCCAAACAATTGATAATAAATATTTAGAAATGAAGACTATATTTTTAAAACTAAATGGCAGAGCCTAAATTCTTTTGCTCTGGACATTTTTGAGGGATTTCAATACCTCACATGACCCTCATTTTAATATATCACTTTCTCTTCAAGCAGCAGTCTTGTTCTAGGCAACGTGCATGAAATGTGGTGGCTAAATATCTTTTGGGCAATGTTCCAAACAACTTAGGGTCTTAGGGGAGGATTCTGAGGGCTCCAGCAATGGCTACCAAGACTAGCAGATGGCAGGATGACTGTAGAAACAGACTTGTATTTCTACAGTTGGTTCATATAAAACAAGCTCAGAAGAAAAAAAAATGTAGCTGTAGACCTTACAGTTCTCAGCTGTCACTCCATAGACTAAGCTGTGAAAGCCTCCTCCAGCAGGGTAACATGCACATGTCTGTACCTTGTGGCAGGGCCGGAGCTTGTGTGGCTTCTGTAGTAGGGCTAGGGAGCTGGGGTGGTAGCTTTTCACATGTCTGAGGATGTGAATCAAACAAAAGGGGAAATTATGGCAGCATTTATTAATAATCTTGTACAGTTTTATGGGAAGGAGTTTAATTCTCTATAATTGTAAGATGATCTAGATTGTCAATTGTTACTTCATATATTTTGAAGCTCTGTTATCAGGTACATATACACTTGTGATTTTTCATGAATTATGAAAATTTTTCCTCTTGAAAGTTATTTGTAACAAAGTCTATTTACTTTATCTGTTGTTATTATAGCTACTCTAGTCTTCTTACACTGTTAGAATGGCGTATCTTTTTGCATCTAATTCATTTCAACCTATCTAAATCTTTATAAATTTAGTATCACAGACAATGTATAATTAAGTTTCCCTCTGTACCCATTAAGATAAAGCCTGCCATTTAATTGAAAGTGTTTAGTCCACTTAGACTTAATGTAAATATCCACGTAGTTGGATCTAGGGATACCATTTCCCTACTCACTTTCTGTTTGTCCTGACTGATATTTATTTTGTGCTATTAAGAAAATTACCTAAGGCCTCTGTGCTCCCTCAAAGTCATTCTAGGTCACTGTTGAACAAGCCCACCTAAGACTCAGCCTAAGGGCTGAGGAAGATAATTTGGTCCGATGTGATATTTACTTATAGGGAAACTGAGTTACAGAGGAGTTAGTTAACTTGCTCAAGGCCATCAAGTAATAAGCACTGGGGTTATGTTTCAGAGGTCAAAGCCAATACATTTAATCATTTCACTGTACCGCCTCCCGCTGGCAATTGCCTCACTATTGTACTAACGGCCAACAAGCAGAGGAAGCTGGGAGGGCTGTTGCTGCCCTTTGCCAGCTGCGGTCCCTGCAGATGACATTTTCCGTTGAAGGCAAAGGCAGTTGTGCAGCACCTTAGGGCACACGTGAACCAATCCCAGGGGCCCCAGATCAGTGAGGCTCAGCCTGAATGCGATGGGAGCTGAACTTCGACTTGAGGTTTTGCTCACTCCATTGATCAGGAATTCCTCATGTGTACCCACGGCTTGACACATGGTTAGGTATGCTGTGTTGAGAAATGCTGTTTTTAGGAAACAGTTGCTGAGCATTTTGGTGACATACATTTGTTCTGTTTGATAGAGGAGTGGGGTGACGTGGGGGCAGGAGAAGTGTGACCGGCCAGGGAAACACAGTGAGGTAACAAATGTGAGTGACGTTTTAGCACTTCCTCGTGAGGCAGCAGCATGCCCTCCTGACGCCCAGACGGGCTCACTCTTTAGATTTTTCTCGCTCATTTGCCACAGCTGTTTGTTGTTTTCTTAAATGTTAAGATTTTTATAGCTCTTCAGTTACTTATAAAAAGTATCAGTTATTCAGGCCACATGAGAACTGGCTCAGTGCTGGTCTAATGAGCAGGAAGAACACTGAAAGCGTGCATATTTTTGTTGTTTCTATTTTCTCACTGCTCCTCCTCCCCTTACTCTCACAAGTTTCCCCTTTGGACTCACATGACTCCAGAATTTGGGAATTCACTAGAAAGATGAACCACGAGTTAGCCTTTGTTCTTTAAATGTAATTTGTCACTGACCCACCTGCCTGCCTGTTACTGACCTTCAATGGTTGCAATAGTAGAGAAATAGGGAATCTCATCCCACAAGCCGCAGCGTTCCTAGGGGTCAAAGGGGACTTGAAACTATACATATTCACCTGTGATCTCTGCAGGAAAGAAGTCTCATCTTTGCCACACAGAGGGAAAAGGATCCTGAGCTCAAGAGACCTTCACGGAATAGGTAGGAATTTCTCTTTGGGCCACAGCTTCTGGGGAAAGCAGTTAGGATTTGCTGCAAAAGGAATCCTGGTAGACTCAGAAGGGAGATAGCAGAAACTACCGTCAAGAACACAGAATTTATATATTTGAAGGAATCATACAGCCTCCCCTACTCTTGGAGGCCTTTACAATGGCATCTGTAGGTTGTACATATATTCAACTGTTGCATTTATGAATCTCAGATTTGGGGCACACTTGGAAAGATTGTAATGTTTCATGCATTTTAGCTTATTATCTGATATTGATATATACCTATATTTATATATTCATGATTTTATAAAAAAGAATATAATAAATTGATATTGAAATATTAATTTAATTGCAATATCAAATTATTGATACTTTAAAAAATCTGGAATTAAAGTTTTTATTTGTTCATTTACTTTTACATTTATGTAGATATAGGATAAGAACTGATTGCTGTTCTAGGAAGTGATTTGCCTCACACTCAGAATGTCTTTAATACTACTTAGGAACCTCTGGCCAATTGTTTGGCTTCACGATTAAATTATGCAACTGTTTCCAGGAAACTACATCCTCAGGCCCATTTTCTTGGTCCTAGAAGAGGTGAAGACTCCCTCCTCTTAGAGAATTGTCTTCACCTAGCATTTACCTGAGATAATTTTGCAGAAATTAGTCCTCATTAAACATGTTCTGAGGTAGAAAATAGACCTCATTCAAATTAGTAGCAACTTGGATTCATTTCTGGCATCAAACTTGGAAAAGGCCTATGTGTAGAATAAAGTGCATATTTTTTCTTTTAGCTCAGAGGCTCCATGTGCACCTATTTAATCTTGTGCTTTTACTTTTTTGGATATATTTATTTTTGTCATGCTAGAAATCAAGTTCTTATGCATTTGAAACTAGAATGGCTAAAATTAAAATAATACTAAGTGTTGTTAAAAATGTAAAGCAATGAACTCTCAGTTGCTGGTGAAAGTGCAAAAGAACACAGCTACATCAGAGAAATAGGTTGGCAATTTCTTATAGCAAACATACACTTGACATATGATTCATTAATGATACTTTTAGGTATGTCCACATGAGAAGTGAAAGGTCATATCTGTGCAAAGGCCTAAATGAATGTTCATGGAAATTTTGTTTGCAATAGTCCCAAACTGAGTGCAGTATATATGCAGAGTGTATCAGTATCAACAGATATGCTAATCATGATATATCTATACAATGAAATATTATTTAGCAATAAAATGTATTGGATAGACAACATTACGGACAATTCTCACACAAAGTGAAAGAAGTGATGCACACACACAAAATACTATATACCATGTGATTCCATTTAACTGAAAAATCTAGAAAAGGTACAACCATAGTGATATAAATCTGTGATCTGTGGTTATCAAGGAGGTAATCTTAGGGTAAGATGAGGATTGACCATAAAAAACATGTGGGAGCTTGGTTATGGCAACAATCTCAAGACTGTCAAAACTTATCCTACATGCTTAAATTAAACTTCAATAAAGCTAATGAGAAAAAGATAATGTGTACAGGTTCTTTGTGACTAAGATGTATATGAGACAATTAAATTTTTATAACTCTAGGATTAACTTCCTTTGGACTCAGCCTCATTTGCTTTGCACAAATTTATTAATACAAAGTTCATGATTTAGATGTTTTTAATATCTGTTATCCTAAAACTAAAGTTATTTATTCATTTGGAAAAAAGCAGTATTTCAAATTTGTTGTACAATAGATATTTGGTGATAAAGGGAAAATTGAAATAATAACAGTTAATCAGTGCTTATACAGTTGTCTAAGAGTCAGTATGTCTTTTTGTTTGCTGATGCACTGACACACTGGAACAACTGTCTTGTGGAGATCTTATTTACAGTATTGGGTAACAGGCTGGGTGCCACATGAAGATACTAACATTGGAATTCCTCCATGCAGAACAGGGGCCGAATCTGAGGATCTACAGGATATAGCTTAATGCTAAATTTAATATATAAAATCACTTGATGATCTGAGGGCAAAATAATGAATTGAGTAATTTTGCTTGTGTGAACAATTTTAAAATCATAATTTCTGTAATCATCCAATCCCTCAGAAATATAACTAGATATCTACTTACCCTATACTTCAGTCTAACATATCTATCTATTAGGGATTTAGTTACAGCAAAGCATTATGGGAAGTACTATAGGAGATGCAGAGCTGCTTAACCTTTCCCATTTAGTTAAAATTCTATCTTTAAAATTTCCTGAATAGTAAGTACATGAGTCTCTCACTCCCATGCCTTGTCTGTTGAGGGGCAAAATTTATCAACATATTTTTTGCTTAATACTAGCCTCAGACCATCCAACCACAGCTAAGGATGAATGCATACAGAATGGACTTGCTCCTTGGTGTGGTCCCCAGACTAGCCTCAGCGTCATCAGGACACTGGTTAGAAATGCAAAAATCTCAGCATTCATTCCCAGATGGACAGAATGTGCACTTTTATCAGATTCCTGGGTATCTCAATTACAACACATGTTTCTTCCACCCATGAAGTTTTTCTGCTTCTCCTTACCTAACAGTAGTATGAACATTTGAGGATTTAATTCCTTCTACCGAATCTTTTGAGATGCACTGAAGGTCAGGTGTCTGATACCTTCTATCAGGGGGAGTCTTGAACCATTTGACAGGTTTCTCTCCAGGCCTGACCTGATATTTACTTACCACTTGCAATTCAAAAAGCATCTTTGTAAGTAAGAGGAAGAAATTTCAGGTGTCTGAAAAGCTAATGCACATAGCCAAAAAGGGTTCAGGTTGAAAGCCTGCCCTAGAACACACTTTACTTAATAAATGTTAAATGAAAATAATAAATGCCCTTCCTGTTGGCTTGAAAATAGCTTTTACGTGGCTCTGGTACAAATACATTTTGTAATCCTTTCAAAGCACCTTTGTTTCACTGCTACCAGCTCCTATATGGATGACGGTATTTACTCACTGAGGTGTGCGCAGATTACTTTAATGGTTGGGAACCTATTTCTTCCAACCTCTACTTGACATTTTCTCCTTTATGCAGAGAGCATAACTGAGGTGCAAGCTGTCTAGTGTCCTGAAACATTGCCAGCTCATGCTCCATTCTTTCAGGAGCTGCTTGTCCAGTGAGGCTTCCTGTACCTTTTATGATAAGAAGCCACTCAGAAGTCAGAGGAAAAAGAGGGACTGAGAACAGGAGTCCTGAAATAAGGCCCTGGAAGAGAAGTCATCTGGCCTTTCTGAGCCTTAGTTCTCTGACCTGCAAAATGGAACGGTTCGACCAGAAGATGTGTGAGGTCTCCTCCAACCCTAAACCAAGAAAATGGATTCTGGATGCTAGACTGTGGAGTCAGGATACTTTATAAAGACATTTCATATGTGTTATTCTGAGGAATCATCACAGCTCCACAGTGGAGCTCCTGTTTTACAGATAAAGAGACTGAGACCCGGAGAGTGTAAGTGGCTTCTTCAGTTTTGTTCAATTCAAATAGCAGAATCTGGACTCAGGACTCAAACCCCCGGCATTCTGACTTCATCCGAAGTTTTCCCACTAGACCTCTGCTGTCACCAACTCAGCCTATTGCTTTGTTTAATCATGTTATTGAAGGTTGTGCAAAGGTCATATGTTCCAAATCTGTCTGCTTCTCGAAGTAAGCTAAAATAAGCTTTAGAATAGTACCATGCAGGTATCCTGCAGCAGAAAAATAATGAAACATTCTATTTGTATTATTAGTCTAAAAAGGCAAAAGTGCTTTTCTCAACATTGCCTCTTGAATCTCAAATCTCCCCCCGGGAGGTGGACTGAAGCAAGTATTCTTAAAGTCATTTTAAAGAGAGAAAAACGAAGGCAGAACAATGAAATTAGTTGCCTAAGCTTTCTCAGTAGAGTGGATATTAACTCCAGACACCTGATAGTTCCACTTTCTTTTTAACCCCCATCTAAATGGAAGCTCCATGCACAAGCATCATGCTTCATGTTCTCATCCCCAAATGTAGCTGCAACAAGCTGGCAGCCCCAGAAACTGCAATGGGAGAGTATCTATAAGGAAACAGGTAGAAGAGCACAGAATGGAATGATCCTGTGGATTCCCTTAGGTTCTGCTAACAAAGGAGAGGATCTTTACATTCCATTCAGAACATAATTGGATTTAAATATTTTACCAGCTTCAGTGAAATCTTTTTAAATTTTTGCTTCTACTGAAGAACAAGTACTTATCTAGAGTTTAATTACAAATATAATCTGGTTCTGCATGGATAAAATGCAAAAATGTCAAGGGCAGTTAGCTAGAGTCAGAGCACGAGAGAAGAACAGCTGCTTCCTCCTCCCCAACCCCGTTTTAATAGTCATAACTCTCAGGTAGAAAAGACTAAGAAAGTAACTTTGTGTTGTGGTTAAGAGTGTGGGCATCAAACTATGTTTGCATCTTAGCCATGCTGGTTACTAAATCTGTGACCCTGACAGAGTTATTTCTCAGGTCAGTTTTCTCATCTGTGAAATGTGGGTAATAATGGAAACTACCTCCTACCGTAGATTAGTTGTGAGGGTTAACTGAGTTAATACCTGCAGAGTGCTTACAGAGGCACCTGGGAAATAGTAGAAACTTAACAAATGTTAGCTATTACTGTTACTGTTATTAGTGAGGAGGGAACAGTTAAACACTTTGATTTATTTTTAAACCTAGCACTATATAATTGAATTCTAATATTAAGTAAGGAGCATTGATTATCAACTGATAAGTTCTTTGTGTATGTGGTTGTCCAAACTGAGAGGTCAAGTTGTAGGTGGGCTGGGAAACAGCTAGCCTATTCAAGACAACCAGGCATAGAAAATAAGGCAAGGAAATGGATAATGGAAATAACCTAATGTAGGATTAGTTACTGAACCTACTATTATGTCTGCCATCTAAAGTGATGATATTGTGACAAATGACCAAAGGCTTCTTGAAATCCTGAAGGAGAGAAATCACACACTACAGAAATACAGTTTCCTCACAAATAGGTTGTGTAGATATGGGAAGAACAATTGCCCAATGGCAAATAAATAAATGTCTACTCTGGTTTATACATCAATCTCTAATATGTATAGTATGAGTCAGATCAGATCCTACCTAACCTAATTAATTCTGCATGAACTGTTAAGTCCTGAAGCTACCAATACTGATCTCTTGGGTTTTGGGCATTCCCAGATCAGTATACCTTGTGGAATCTGGATATTGAAGTAATTATACCTTTTCCTAGTGTACCTGTCATTAGATACTAAAGCTTAAATAGAAAACAATTCCTATCCCAATCTCATGAATGTCCTGATGTTCCTCTTTCTTTCTCTGCTATTAGGAAAGGCAAGAATGCTGTAGACAACATTATGAAAAAGCTGAAGGTATGCAAGATCAGCCTAAAGACATGCATTCTAATTCAATGAAGGCCTTCTTGAAGGTGGCAAATAGCTGCAAAGTCTGGAAATGATGGGATGTGATTAAAACAAGCAATTTCTCAGAAGGAACTATGTGATTCTCATGCACAAATTCTTGTAATGTTCAATTGAACTCCTCTTTTCCTACTACCAAAGTTGATTCCTGTACCATACAAGGAAACCAGTCATATTTCTTTGTTGCCTTTCACTGATTTTCATCTTAAAAATGCTTTTCCAGAGTACACCCAGTTTGGCACAAATGGCTCTTATTTTTAGCAGCCCCCCCCCAACAACAATAAAAAAATCCATTGTCAAGAAAGTAGAAATTCCCACTTCTGACAAATCAAAGAAAGCTGGTAGAAGTCTGAGGACAGTTCCCAAAAGCAGTAGCCAATGGCTGAGCGGGTCAGTGTTCTACAGTAGAGGCAGAGCTTTGCAGGCAACTGGTGGGGTAGAGCAACACTAACATAGCCAAACTTGAGAAAGTTTGGGATGCAGGAGAGCATATATGCCGCATTCATGGACTTTTGAACCCTACCTGCTGGGCTCTATTCCTGGCTCTGCCATTTACTGCAGTATGACCCTAGGCAAGGTACTCTCTATGTTTTAATTTCCCATCTGAAAATGTGCTTTAACCACAAAAGTTGGTTATGATGATAGAAAGAGTGAAATCGTGGGCCTGACACATAGTACACACGATCTTAGGGCTGACTGTGACATAACTGTCCCTCCTTTGGTCCTGTCTTGTGCTGAGCATTTTTGCTTCAGCTCACCTGGAGAGATCCTGGCAGAGGTTCCTGCCTGAGCCTCGGCTTCCTTCAGCCACAGTACTGCCCTTCTTCCACAGTGCCTCACTTTTCCTTCCATCTCTTTGTACTACTACCTTTCTCTCTTGCCTTCTCTTTTCTGTGCGTTCTCTGTGTTATCTACCTGCTTTGGGATATAGGTGAGGATTGGTGATGAACGTGGCATGTGTTTTTAATTTTATGGGTTCAGTAATTGGTATGTAATATATGTCACGTATATTTGTTGCTTTGGTTTTACAATTCAAAAGAATTATAAGGAATCAGGAATATGCGTTCTATTTTTCTCAGTGTGTTGAGTGGTAGATAGCATGGTACTTCATGCTGTGTGAATATTTGCATCTCAGAAGTATTAGTATTTGCAACTTGCAAAAATGGTGTTTTGAAAAAAGCTATTTTGAATGACATCTATCATTCAAAAATATCTACCTTCTAATTTTGAGGACAAAAACAATTTTTGAAACTGAGCACCGTTGAAAAGTTTTATTCATGTTATACCTAAAGCCAAAGTAATATTTAAAATAAAATGTTAGTGACAGAAAGCTACATTTCTATATATTCATTAAGGAGGTTGTCATAAGGAGTGGAATAAGCACAATTTCTCAGAGCTAAAATGAAAATTGTTTTTCTTTAGCCAGATATTAGTGTTGGAACAATGTAACCCTTTGCTTAACAGTATGAGGCACCCACCAGGCTAATTTATGGGATATGGAATGTTATGGGTGATTGAGTGATCTGATTGTTTCAACAGTGCTAAAGGGTTTATAACAGTCTCCAAGTTCCCGGCTTTACTAGCCTGAACTTGCCCTTTCCCATCTCTATCTCCTGCTTGCTTCTTTTCTCTAAGCAATGATATATTCTTTTGTGTTTTCAAATTTAAGCTGTATAGGAAGCCGGTGAAGTGGGGGCCTGGGTTCAAGTTTGGGGGCAAAAATACATAGAAAAAGGAGTGGGGTCTTTCTGTAACTACCCTTTTGTAATCGCGTTTTGTAAAACCACTGTTGGGTTGGGAGAGGGCCCGGAGCTTGACTTTGGGGAGGTTGATGGGGGGGAGATGTGTGCTTCTTAGAATGGGGTGGAATTGTGCAAGGGGAGAACCCCAGGAGAACACTGCCAGTCCTCGCCTTCTGAAATACTGTCATTAGCCCCTCAGACTTGCTCACTGGCATTAACCTGCTTGTCACATTAAAAATCCACTTTAACCAGTGTGGGGAGAAATGAACTTAGACAACAACATATGCAGCCCCCCCCCAATTTCATTATTCCCAGCCCTGAAATGCAGAGGACAGAGTGACTGATGAGAATGGTTCCTGGTGACAGGGAGATGGCTGGGAGAAAAGATGTAAGGAAGAAGGATGCCAGGCTGGTAGTCATGCCCTGTGGAGTATTATAGTCATACTTGCCCTTCGGGGGAGATCTTGGTGTGTGGCTGCATGTCAGTCTTCAGAATTCATTCATTGGCACTTTCTTGATCTGGTGCAGTTGGGTGCAGGGCTGGCTTCTTTCTGGGGTGTGGACAATAGGAAGTGAGCTTCTGTTTCCTTTCTGTATTCTAATCCATTTTTCCTAGTTGATCTTACTTCCATGTAGCCCACAGTTTCCTTCTCTAGAAAATAATGTGATAGTCCTGGGGAGGATCAAATAAGGTACAGAAGCAACATCACTCAGATCCATCTTCCTTTCTCTCCTTAAAACATTTCCATCCTCGGAACATCTGCAGAGAGCTTTAATGACTACTGTCTTGGATCTCTGAGCAACCAGTGTCAAAACACATAAGTCCTCTTGGGCTGAGCCCCTTGGGCACCATAGAAAAAAGGGGTGGAGCAGCAGTAGGTTCAGGTCCAGCACTCTCCACTCCCAGAAACTTCTCACTCTCCTTCACAGGAGGCGAGGCGAGGTGTGAGTGAGGACCAGTAATTAGCACTTAAAAAATGTCTGGAAAACCAAGTCCAGATAAGGACTTGAGACTGTTCTTTGTCCTGTTTTTTAACACAAGACCACACACTTTCCAGAAGATAATTAGATCTGTTCATGAAGATCTGGATCTGGATCTTAGACCTGGGTTGAGGCACCTGCTTGGTGCTGTGTTTTCTCCTCTCTCCCTTATTCTCACCCAGTGCTGAGGGTGTAGAGCAGGGTTACTGGTGTGGAGCTTTAACAGACCATAAACTCAAGAGGCTCCACACTGACACCCCTATTCCCTTGACATCTCTGTCCCTGGGAGGATGGTATTCTTGATAAACCTTCCCCATGAAATCCACAAGATGGGAAAAGGAAGAACCCACTTCACTCCACTTCCTCTGGTTACAGGGCTGCTTGACTGTGAGATCTCTATCTGAGCCATTTCCTATATCCAGAGTCCATTAAATGAGAAGTTTGGATGACTGACCCCCATGACTTTGGGAACTTAATTTTAAAAAGCACAAGAACATTTCCTGAACTGAAAACAAGCAAAACACCTCAGGTGGCAAATGATTTGAAATAATAACTTGAATTTACCATGACAGATTTGATGAGAGTGCCTGCGTTCTAATTCCTTGTTATCCGATACTGGTGTGAAAGTGGGGTGGGCTACTTTGTACCTCAGGTAGAGTCCACGTGGGAAGCCTGGGATCTGGGGATGGGCTGAGGGGGGCTGAACCACTCCGTGTGAAAGGAATTGTGCCCTGATTGACTTAATTATTCGCAAGATTGATTTAGAAAAGTCATTTCCTTCAATCATTCAGATCTGAAGTACTTATCTTTTGAACACCCACCCTCCCATTCATGAAAGCTTTTCTCTTTCACTCAGAAGCCTACTTCTCCTTCTCCCTTTACACCCACCAGAAGGGCTGCTCCAGGCAAGAGAGGGTTTGGGGGAAGGGAGAGATGGTGCTCTTTTAGGCCTGCAGCAAATTAAAATTACCCAAGAACAGCACTGGCTCTCATCCTCCATTGATCATTGAGTGCTTATTTTTGTAACTGATTTGATAGCTAGAGAACATGCATTTAAAAAAATCTAGAAAACAAATGTTTTGCACTTTGATTCAAATATAAGAAGAAACCCTCACAGAAACACAACATTTTTGTATGTGTGTGTGCCTGGTATTGCACATTTCAAATGTAATTTAAAACTCACGGTCCAGCCACATCAGCTAAAATCAAAGATCTTGTCCTCAAAATAAAATAAATTCTGACATATTTCTCATGTTGAGATGGCCTTCTTTGTCTTTTAATCAGCTAGTCAGCACTTCTGCTGTCAAAAGGAGCTCCCATCCTCATACCTCAATAGAAAATAAGCAAATTTCTAAAATCCTTCTCACCTTAGTCGAGGCCTCCTCCAGCTTTCTTGTTCCAACAAGTCATTCTTTTACAGCTTGGGCATGAGCTGTGGTTAAGTCAAGCCGATGTTTAGCTAGCACATGCTAGGATAGCCATAGTTATTGTAAATATTATGTTTCCTCACTGGCTAATAAATATGTTTTGAGCTCCTTGGGTGCCCCTCCCTCACCCTCTCCTGGGACCACCTGGACCACCTCTGTGAGGTAGCAAGTGAAGGGTTCACACCTGACACAGCCGGGGCCTTCACAAAACTGGCTTGACTGTTTAACCTCCATCTCCTTCCTCTTGTTGCTAATTTGAGTATTACCCCTAGGTTGCATTCATCATGTTGAAAATGGCTGATTATACATCCATCTTTCCCACTATTTCATGCAAACTCTTAAATTTTATGGTGACATCAATAGTCCTTTGCTACTTGGGTGGAGAAAGAGCCACTAATTAGGCATTACTCCCAGGAATTTCTCTCAGTCAATGCACTTAGCTTCTTTCCTCTTACTCAACTGGGGTTTGATCCCTAGAGACACAGGGATTTATTCAACAATTTAGACCAGTTAATTAAAATTTTAAGGCCTCTCTAAATACAGTTCCTTCTCTGTAGGACCAGGACAATTGTCATTCATGATAGGAGAAGTAAAGAACAAGGGTTATTAAAAATGGAGGTGGCCCCATTCTTTCGCATCGTGAGGGCCTTCCAAGCATGGGTTCAACATGTGAGGCATGAGGGAGGAAGATTCAGAGTACCTGTGACCTTGGACTTATTACTCAGCCAAACTCTGTCCGATGCTCATTTCACTTCAAGCCGGGGTAGATAATGCCGCTGTGTTCTATTTCGTTTGTGTACACTTGCACATTTGAGTGACTATATGGTGTGTAAGTCAAACTACTTAAAGCAGTGGAATGTTTCCACATGTGAAAAGTTACATGTGTTGAAGCTAAATAATGACAATAAGAGGGGCCATGGTGTATTAGCAGTAATCTATATTATTAAGATTTTATAAGAACCGGAGGGAATGTCATGGCAGAGCAAAACATGGCCCTAACTCCTGAAAGCAACTTGGTTTATTGATAGAACTTTGGTTCTATCAACCAATCCAAAGGGAAAGACTATAGCAACTAATGCTGTATTTTCAAACTTCAGTAATTTAGGGATCCTTTCAAAGGAAAAGGTACCTTGGAGTCTGAGTGTTAATCTGAGATTAGTTATTCATTAGATACTTAAATGTCTAAAACAAAAAGGAGACAAATTCTTCACGGTTAAAGCTCTTACACAATTCTAAAAGAAAATTTCTAATGAAATAAAAATAAAATTAAAGAAAAATTAATACATGATTGTAATATTGACAGGTGATTTTTTGCTGAGAATAAGTTTCCTCTTACAATGGAAACACGGTGTTGCCCGCTATGTTACACATTCTTTTGAATTCAGTATATCTTGACCACTGTGAACTTTGGGAAATCAGCTTCCACCCTCATTTGTTCCATTCAAACTCCTACTGTGAGCACATCATTTATGTATCCAGGCTTCTTTCTTTTTTGGATTTAAGGTTCAAGTAATATTATTTGGCGATGATGTGATTATAAATATAGAGGCAAACACAAACTTTGAAATCACATGGCATCTCTTGGTAAAATAAGTAATAGTTATCAAGTGTTTACTGTACACCAAACACTGTTCCAAGTGCTTTATGTCTTTTAATTTACATGTCCCTTATTATCATCCTGAGAAATTTCCCCATTACAGATGAGGAGGTGAGCTCTGAGATTTTCCAAGTTTACTCAGTGAGAAAGCAGCAAACCCAGGTAGTTCTGTACCAGAATCAATCTCTTAGCTACTGTGCTTATTTTAATGTCATATGATATAATAAAAGCAAAAAATTTCAACCAGAGAGCTCTTACAACCTATCAGAAATCAGTTGTAATACAGAAATAATTATTCAATTCTCTTAAAACTTTCATTATTCCCAAGATTATTACCACATAGTGTCCTCTAATTCTTTAAAGTACAAAAATATATCCTGAATCTATCCACAGTTATCTCAATTGACATCAGGTCTTTTCTAAGGGCAGAGCATTATATTAGATAATTGGCATAGAAGGCTTGCTAGCAATAGAGATAGTAAAAGATATGTTGTGTAGCCATATTGAAGTGTGAATGTTGATACCACTTTAACAAGGGTAATAAAGCATAGACAGGCAGAGGAATAAAGACGAGTATGAGTGATCTGGGGCAATTGGGGTAAGCTCTGAGAGGCAGGGGCTATTGACCAGAAACTTGAAAAGGGAGGCTAGGTGCAGAAATTCACTCAAATCCATCTGTGCTGGGGGTGGCAATTGGCAAACAGTTCTAGAAACAATGATTAGAAGTTGTAACCAATCTAGATTTTCATGGCATGTTTCAAGAAATCTGCAAGTGTCAGAGTGGGAAGGTCAAAGAAGAAGGCAGAGAAAATCATTTGAGCCTTTTGCCCTTGGGTTTTGTGTGTAAACTGTACACTGGATCATTTAGGTATTTGTTCAAATTTATTTCTCACTTGTCTGTGTCTTCAACAGCCTCATCTCATCATGGCTATTTACTTGTCTTAGATTGTAAATGAAGACAAAGTGGAGAATGTCAAGCCTACTCTACAGATCCCCCAAAAGACATACTAAAGCACTTCTGATGACCCATCGAACTTAATTATTTCATGAGCGCCTATCACTTGCAAGTTCTTCTGTTAATTGAGGATGGATGGGAGGACGAATAACTTAGGGTCCCTGCTGTCCAGAAATTTCACAGGGTAGATAATGAATAGTACATAGGAATGGAACAGATAGTTTGGTCTGCAACTGTTTGCATGGTAGCTAAGTTCTTGGGTGTAAGACAGATCCTATTCCAATCTCAATTCTACTGGCTACTTTCTGGGTGTGTATGGGCAAGTGAACCTCATTTTTCTTATCTATAAATGAGGAGGATGGTGACAATAAGAATGAAAAGATGAAAATAAAGTGTTTGTAGATGGGGAGGGGAGGAGGGGGTGAAGGGAGGGCAGAGGTAAGGGGAAAAAATGAGAATCAAGACTTGTCATGTAGAGGTACAAGATCCCAACAATGAATGTAACTGTACTGTATCCCTAAAATGTACCAATAAACTCAATTAAAGCTGAAAAAAATAGTCAAATATATAATATAATTAATTATATTTGAAATGTGTTAAAAGCAAAAGCAGAAAATGAAAAAATTACAAAGTAACTATGTTATGTGTTAAAAAAAAAAAGAGTATTGGCATCATAGAGCTGTTGTCAAGACTAAATGAAATGATACCCATGCAATGCTTAGCACTTCTGTGCATAGAATTCAGCTCATCAGATGCGAATCTGCAGCTGTTGAAACTCTGCTGACTACAACCATGTCTGAACAAAGGTGTGCTTTCTAATTTGATTGTGCCTGAGTCTCTGAATGGTCCTGTATTGGAAGGTAAGGGGAGGAGAAGCCAAGCAGAGGCAGCACTAATTTGGCAGTGCCTGGGGGAACGTGTGCGTGTAGCACTGCCCTCTACTGGAGACACTTCTAAGAGATTTCCAAACTATTCAGTACTCCCTTGTTCCAACATCTGGGTTTATAAAGAAAAATCTCTTTCATAGAGGGCTTCACAGCCTGTCTGTGACAATTTCTCCCTTTTTCCAATACTTGGGAGGCAGAAGAAATCCTATTGTTTGCTAGGCTCAGTCCTTCACTTGCTTTTAACTAATGTGGAGTCTGGACAAGTATTGATTTTTCTGTTTTTCTCTGACTGAACTCATCAGTCATTTTATATTACTGGAGAGTCCATTAGCAATAAAAATAAAGGATGGAAGTTACAGACCCCATTAGAGAAACTTACTCTCTGTATCTTTGGGACAAGGGAAACAATTAAAAGCACGTCATCTTATAAACATTCTAATAGAGTTTTAGAAGAGTGAATAAGTGCAGGCTGTCACTATCAAGGGATGAAATGAAATCCTCCTTACTAGTCAACTAGAAAGGAGTGTTCTGACTTTTCTACCAGATTGGGATAACTTGGTGGGATGAAAAGAAGATCAAACACTAAAATAAAGTGACACTGCATTCAGAGGTTCAGCTGTAGGCTCATTCATGGATGAATTTCAGATCTGCCATCACAATGACAGATCTAAGACAAGAGGGAGGTGGTGTTTAATGAGAAAGGAAGAGACAGCAATATAACTTTGACTGGGAAATTTAAGCAACTTGAGCAAAAACAAACAAATGAACAATATCTTCACATGGTTGGGGAAGACTTTTTCCGGTTGGGTTAAGGGTCATTGAAATTCTCTTAATTCCCCAATGACAGAAGAACGAAGCAAGAAGACAGCCTGTGAAGTTTGATGTTTGTTAACCTGAGGATGTAACTGATATATGGGATAGGGGGCATCTTTATGCTTCTTGGGTGGATCTAAGCTGTTGTATGGGAGTGACTGGCATCATTCTTGACATGGGTCAACACGGAAGATATTAATTCTCAGTTAGGCATAGTGGTGCATACCTGTAATTCAAGCACTTTGGTTGGCTGATGCAGGAGGATCACAAATTTAAGCCCATCCTGGGAAATTTAGCAACTTAGCAAAACCCTGTCTCAAACAATTAAAGGGCTGTGGATGATGATTGAGTAAATATTAAGGTTGTCTGATCCTCTTTAGTCCAGAAAGCAATACATACTTTTTCAAAACCATGTTATAAGAGGCGACATATATATTTTGTTCTCATACTTGATGTTGGTTTTAAGTACTTTTAAAAACATTAGTTCATGATAGTTATAAATATAATTTTTAATGTTGCAAAAGATTTCATTAGATTTATGACTTTTGGTTTACTTAGCCAATTGTTTAAAAGAGACATTAAACATTTTTAACATAATTTTCTTTAAAATTTTTAAGTAATACTGGAGGAAAGATAGCCTCTTTAATAAATGGTATTGGAAAAACTGGATTTCAACCTGCCAAAGATTAAAACTATACCCCATCTTTCACCATACACTAAATTAAAATCACACCGGATTAAAGATCTAAATATTAAAACAGCAACACTAAACTTGCTGGAAAATAAGTTAGGTAGAACCCTTAAAGACACTGGCATAGGAAAAGACTTTATGAACAAATCCCCAATAGCATGGGAACTAGTACAAAGAATCAACAACTGGGACCTCATCTTATTAAAAAGCTTTTGCACTGAAAGAGAAACCACCAACAGAACTAATAGACAACCCACAATGTGGGAAAAATTTTTTACCACCTGTTCCTTAGACAAAAGTCTATTCTCTAGAATATATAAAGAACTCAAAAAATCAGACTCCCCAAATATAAAGAGCCAATCCAAAAATGGGCATCTGAAATGAACAGACATTTCTCAGACAAACAAGTAAAAGTAGCAAATAAATATATGAAAAAATGTTCAGTATCACTGGTCATGCAAGAGATGCAGATGAAAACAATGGTGAGATTCTACATCACCCCAGAAAGAATGGCTGCTATCAAGAAGTCAACCAATAACAAATGCTGACAGAATTGTGAGAAAGGAACCCTTCTCCATTGTTGGTGGGAGTGCAGAATGGTGCAACCACTGTGGAAGTTAATATGGAGATATCTCAAAAAAAAAAAACACACACACAGAATTAGAGGTCCCATTTGACCCAGCTATCCCTCTGCTGGGTATCTTTCCAAAAGAATTAAAAGAATCATATCACAGTGATATACTTTTGTACCCATGTTTATAGCAGCACAGTTTGTAATAGCTAAAGCTTGGAAACAGCCCAGTTGCCTATCAACTGGAGACTGGATAAAGAAGATGTAGTTTTGTTTTATAAAATGGAGTACTACTCAGCCATAAAGAACATCAAACTAGAGACATTTGAAGCTAAGAGGATGCACATTGAGGCCATAGTCTTTTTTTTTTCAGCTTTAATTGAGTTTATTGGTACATTTTAGGGACACAGTACAGTTACATTCACTGTTGGGATCCTGCACCTCCACATGACAAGTCTTGGTTCTCATTTTTTCCCCTTGTCCCTGCCTGAGGCCATAGTCTTAAGTGAAATAAATAGGACACACATGTGTAAATACCAAATAGTTTCTTAGGTGTGAAAAACTAAAAGGGTAAATAAGGATTAAAAATGTAGAACAGATAATGTGAAATAGGAGAAAGTCCAAAGGGAAAGGAGAAATAGGATGGGTTGGGGAAAGGAAAGAAGGTAATGGAATTAACATGAGAAAATGAAAAAATGGAAACAAAGTCTCTGTAAATAGGGAGGGGTGACGGGATTGAAGGGAGCACAGGGGAATGAGGAAAGGTAAGAACTAAGATAGACTATGCAAGGATATAAATTTCCAATGATCAATGTCATTATATTGTATGCCTAAAATGTACCAATAAATTTAATGAAAAAGGTTATAAGTAATATCATCATAGTTACATAAAATATTTTTCTCTGCTCAAATATTTCTTCTGAATAAATTCTTAGGGCTCAGGGTTCTTGATGTGTGTGAGACCAGTTGTTTTCCCAAAAAGCTATGTTATTTGACTCTGCCAGGAGCAGAGAATGAAACTTCTGTCACTTATCCTTGATGACCATTCCTGAGTTCAAGTACCCTCCTACCTAGAGTTCCCAGAGGGCCATGCTTTTCTAGCTTTTCATCAACCTCTCTAGCTATACTTTCTGTCTTCTTTGTTGTCTCCTCTGCCTCTACTTTTTACTTCAAAGTTTGTGTTCACTTAGGCCTCGACTGTCTGCTGTTCTCATTTACTTCCCTTTGAAATATCTCATTCACTGGAATTTAATCACTGGATCATCAGGCACACAGTATCTTCCTCACATACCTACCAATGCCACGTGGACATCCTTGTCTCTTTGTCTCCGGTCTTATTCCCTCAAAACTGCTCTCCATAATGCAGCCAAGATAATTTCCCAATATACAAATTGGGTTATATCATTTTCTGTAGAAAACAATTTTGTGGATTTCTACTGCTCTTAAGAAATCAGATTCCAAGGCAAGGACCCTAAGGCCTTTCATGGCCTGCTGCCTACCTATTCTTGCTGCTGTCTCCCACTACGTGTTCCTGCCACTCCCTTGTATGGACCATGACTGCCATCCTGCTTCTGAGCCTGTCAGAAATCTTCTTCTACGGTGTGTCACTGACTCTCACTCATCCTTCATTTCTCAGAGAGGCCTTTCCTGAGCACCAGGCAAATTCAGGTTTCCCCATTAATGTTCTCCAAGTCCCTTCTCCAATGATACCACTTGCTACACTTTCTTGAGGCCTGTTCTCAGTGTATCCTTTTCCCTGAACCTCTAGCCTGTTCATACTCAGGCCACACATGCTCCAAAGGCCAGAAGCAGGTCTTGCAGGGGGAGGCGCAGTGAGTTCTGAGGACATTCAGATGAGGTATTGACAGACTTGATACAGTCTACCATTCACATTGCTCATAGCCACTTATGTTCCATATTAAATTCACTCCTTCCTCTCATGAATTCTTACAAGCTGGTATTGGTTCACTCCATCTCTACCCGGTTGTCCTCAAAGGTCATTAAACAAAAAATTCCTACAACAGATGTACTGGTGGGACTAGAAACAGTCTCTGATGCTGCCCTGAATCTGTGGTTCATCTTCTCAGAGGCAGTTTTTATGGTCTTGGTTGCTTGCTCAGTGGACTAACCCTGGCATTTATCCCCAAGAATCTGAGGTTCTGGTCACTACACTTTTGTTTGGCTCTATTGTCTTTTGTGTTTGTTCCTAAAATTTAAGGCACAAGAAGCACAAATCCCCACACTAGATTAATGAGAGTAACAATAAAAGAAGTCCCTTCTCCCATGTAATCAAGGTGCTTAAAGTATATTGTGCATCTTGAAAGCTGACTTTGCCCCTAACCTGGTACTTTAGGTGAGACTTTTAGAGGTCTTTCCAAAGCTATCAAGCTGGCAGCCACCTCATTGGT